GCTGGTTTGGATGCATGCCAGTGAACTAGAAGCAGAGATCTGGATTCTCCAGATTTCTTCCCCATTCCCTTATCCTCAGCTGACTCACTGGTTTTGTGTTGGATCTCTTACTCTGCCTCAGTCCCTCTTGACTAGCAATGATATGCTGGGCATGAGAAAATCTCATTCTTCCCAATTGATTCAGTAAAAAGGAGGTATTTACAGGGAAACAGAGTAGATTTGCTTTTGCTTGTTACCTGTGGGATCCCTGCACCAGTAGAGCATGGACATAGCCTTGAGGAACCCTGTGATGGGACACAGAGCTTTGAGGGACTCTGTGATGGCTTCGTGATGGCTTCTCTTAAACCTTGACAGCTTTACTTCTAATTATCTGTGTTTGCTCTTTCAAATCAGACCTTTAAGAACAAATGCTTACTGGAGCATTCTGGTGGCTGCTGCCAACTCATGGAGTCCATCAGTTGAGCTGAGGGATCCTCACCTGTAGGCATCTCCTCATGCCATAGGATGTCCCTGCTTTTCATAGTAGAAAACAAAACCCTGGCTGAGCTCTCAGTGTGTTACCAGACAGCTGTCCTGTGACTTTCTAAAATAAAAAATCCTTTAGCATTTTCCCCTGACTCCAAGTTATTTTGCATAAAAAAAAATTAAGCAGATGACCCAAAATCAATTTACAAGTTTTCCAAGAAATCCTCGGAGCAGTTGTGGGAAATCAGATTCAGACCTGAATTCCACATGTGATGATGCTAAAACTGGGGAAGGATTTTCATTGTTTAAAGCCAGATGTCCACAAATATTTCTTTCTTAAAATGTTGGAGCTTTTTAGTGTGAATCCCCTCCAGGCATTCACAGGCACCTGATGATATCCCAATTCTGTCAGATCCCTGGCCCTTCCTCATCCAGAGGACCACTTTTTGCTATTTTCATATGAGGATTTGCATCTATAAGCAGGGTGGGGAATGTACGTGGGCATAATCTCTGTCATAGTGGCCCTTAAATTTGCTTCAAAGTAACTGTCTTCCACTAAGGTTTCAGAAAGTATCTTCCCTTCCTACAGTCCTCCCACTTGCCCTGATATTCATAGTTGCTACGTTTGAGAGAATTCTATCCAATCCAAAGAGCTGAGTGTGTAATAGCAGCACATGACCTAAAGCATTTCACTATTGAGAGGAAAACACAGCAAGGAAAATCACTATTTGCCAAAAAAAACCCCAAACACAAAACCCCAGAAAAGTGTTTCACAAGTCTCCCAATTCTCCAACAGTCAAGAGATTGCAGGATTTTAGTTTCAAAGAGAGCTGTTGCTCTGTTGGGTTCAATCTGTGCAATGATTGAAAAAACCCCAAAGCAAACAAAGTCCTTCCCACTTCCCCAAAATTCAACAAAATAAACAAACAATCTCCTTAGAAAAGCTGGGGCAAGCAGACGACAGAGAAATAGGATAACATAGCCTGTTGCTTTGCAGCTGTTCACATTCTGGCTGCTTTCCAGAGTTACTTTAGTGAGCCTCTGCCAGGAAAAAAAAAAAAAAAAAAAGAAGTCCTTCAAACCTAGAATTTGATGAGGACATTATTTTTTTGCAAAGTAAGTGAAGATCCAGGTTTGGGATTTAGCAGTGGAACTGCCATCTGCAGCAATGTAGGAACCAGTGATCTTCATCAAGAGCCTGGCAGACTTGAGGGATACCCTAGTGTTGGGAGATGTGTGTTCTTCGAGTGGTGGACACAGAGAACTTGGATCTTCAGATACCACATCCAACAAGTGGAGATGTTGAGTTAATTTGGTGTTTGGCTGGTGGGGAGCAAACTGGACAGGTGCTAAGAACTGGACTAAATGGAAAGTTGTGTCCAAGTTTGGCTTTGTGGCACTGGCTGCTGGATCTGCATCCCATAGGAGAGCTCATGGGGAAGGAGTACATAATAAGTACAAACTGGTGCAGGGGAGAATGGCAGGGAAGAAACGCCAGCCCTGAGCTGATGAATAGATTTTAAAGTGTCCAGATGCACTTCCAGGCATTCCTGAGGCTGTGACCTACGAGTCATGGATGAACTTTATGGAGGAAAGATGCTGTGTCAGAGCCCTGAAATAAAACAAGGGGCATCACCCATCACCATGTGTCGCTTGGAACATCACATCACAGAGACAAGTACAGAGATGCTCTAAAAAACAGGTTTGGGTTCCAGCAAACTGAAAGGGATGAGATGGAACTTTTTTCCTTTCCTGAGTAAATGTGATCATAAAGAAGCCTAAGTCTGGGATTGGTACACTCTGGGGTTCCTTGTGCCCTTATGTTACGGCTTGGCTTCTTATGCATTAACAGGTTCTTCTTTTACCTTGGTCTGTGAAGAAGCAACTGATGCTTCATTTCCTGTTGCTGTGCCCTGGTATTATTTTCACACCCTGCACTTTTAACATATGCTGTTTAAAGGTTATAGGAGGAATTGTTGGCAAATGGTAGATGACAGGTTGCTGAAACATGATAAAATAGCAAGAGTTTCCAAGGAGAGATTAAAGAAACAGGAAAGGAAAGAGGGGAGAGTTTGTAGACAATCTGTGCCAATCTTGACTAGGTTGTGAGACCTGTTTAGATGAAGAGACTGTGCATTGCAAGGCTGACAGACTGTTCTGTTTCCTTGAGTACTGTAGGGCTATAGCATGAAATTCCATCTTCCTCTGCCTCACTCCACCCTGAATCTGATGGATGCTTAGGGAAGAGCTGCTCAGCTGCCTTGCAGACACCTGCATTGGTGTGAGGACTGGGCTCCATTGCTCTGGAAATTCAGCTCTCATGGAGATTTCCACAATGTACGTGTTTCAAATGGAGTGAAACAAATATAAGATTTATGGAATCACAGAATAACAGAATGGTTTGGATTGGAACAAACCTTAAACCTCATCTCATTCCAACCCTCTTCCATAGGCAGGGACACTTCCCACTAGACCAAGTTGCTCCAAGCACTGTCCAACCTGGCCTTGAACACTTTCAGGGATGGGGCAGACACAGCTTCTCTGGGCAACCTTTGCCAGGGCCTCACCACCCTCACAGTAAAGAATTTCTTCCTCATATCTAATCTAAACCTACTGTCTTTCAGTTTCAGTTCACTCCCCCTTCTCCTATCCCTGGAGTTCCTGATTTGCAAAACCACTTAGCAAAGCACTAAGACAATCCAGGGTGGGAATTTACTCCCTCTTCATCCTTTCCTTGACCCCTTGGGAAATGCCCCATGGGAGGCATTTCGAATTCCCACTGCGACTATATGGGCACTAGTCCATTCCCATTAACTGAAAAGGTCATTTTTACTTTCCCATCGGATCTTCACCCTTCAGAGTGGCTGTCCTTCAGCCTGGGATGTCTGGTGAGTAATAACCAAGAACGATTTCATCATCAGGCTTCCACCTCTTCTAAGGCTAAAGAAGAGAATGTAAATTAGTGATATCCAGCTGGGTAAGTAGTTAGCAAGATGGAAGCATGTGGCCTGACCCTGTGGGATGTGGGTGGTCTGTCCATCTCATTGTGCTTCCTTGGTGAGCAAATCTGAGATTCCCACAGGTGAACAGGCACAGGTCAGGAACAGAGGCTGCAAGGTTTCTTCAGCCAACTTCTGTTTTGAATATTATGTTTTCACTTGTGAACCCTGAGGAGTTCAGATCTCAAGGCAGAGGAAATGTTGGAAGAGGTCAAGCGAGCCGTGCTCCCTCCGTGTCTCTTGGACCAGCAAACAGCCTGCATTCCACCGCAACATCTGATTTTCTGCTTTTACAAGGCAGATGTTTAGGAGAAGTGATCTGCTGTTTATTTTAATTGCCATCTTCCAAACCTCTTTCCTACGTGCGCGCACACATTCGGAGCCCATAAATAAGGATTCTTCAGATTATGCCGTTATTTGGGTAGCCAGCCCTGTCTTCCATCAGCGCCTGGACAGGGCTGTGTGCTGCAAACCCTGTTCCCCCTGCACATCAGTTTTACCGTGGCATAAATTAATTAGGTCTAAATCCTTTCTCAATGACAGGAGCATAAATCTGAAGTTGCTCCTCTGACGTCAGCTGATGGCAGTGTAAAGGAGAGTTAGACTCCTGGACTTCAGAATGTTACTGATTTACACCAGGACAGGAGCAAAAGAACTAGGGCTCAGCGTGTTCTAGCACTGTTACTGAACTGCAGGCCAGGATTTGCTCCGGGATACAGTGATGATGACAGAGATCAGTTCTATGGATTTTGCTGACATTAAGTTGATGCAAATGAGTCGTAACTTCACCACAGTTTGGGCCTCAAAGAGCTCCATGTAGTAGGTCATTAATGAAAAGAAGGGATAAAGCAATGCTCCTGTGTAAAGTGATTAGTCCCACTGCCTGACGAGAAGTAGGTATTTCTTCTTGAAGCTGTAGGGCTTCCCAAACAACCTTGCTGCTTAAAGAGACTTTGGCAAAGAGTGCCTGGATTTCTGGTGGCTGCTCTACAGAAGTTAGAGAGCCCAGTAGTCACCTCAGAGTCCACCAGCCCTGCTCCATGAATGCCACTGGAGACAAGCTGATTTACACCTCTCTTCTGTTGGCATCTGGCCAGTCTCTTAATTGTTCATAAGTGACTTTTTTAATAGCACACATTTGCTCTCAGTGGCTTTGTTTGCTCACAGTGAAGTGCAGTCATGTGTGGTGTAGCTGCTTTAAAGCAGCAGATTGAAACGAGGTCCATCTGAACCACCAGGTAACCTGGGGCTGCCACACAGCAGGACACGGGTTTCAGGAGCCCAGCCTGATTCTGTGACCCCACTGACAGTGACCTCCTTGTCCCACACTCAGATGGTGGCCCTGTGGAGATGGAGTGAGAGCTGACAGAGCACAGCCCCAGCTTTCCCACCCATTTTGTTCTCACTAGTGGTGAACGACTTAACCGATGCCTTTGCTGGTAGGGAGTGGTGGAGTTCGCCAGAAGTGAAACAAAACTGTGATTATTGTCATGGAAACCAGAGCTTGAATGTGAAACCCATCCAATGGGGCAACAGGAAGAGGACACTGGACTTCTGTCTCCTATCAAACTGTGTGTGCCTTGGATTTGGAACACCAGGCAGTCACTATTATAATAACCTTGTCATGAGATATCAAAAAACATTGACTTCCTTTGTATTCCTGGGAAAAACTAAACCAGGCTCTGGGGGACTGGCCTGTGAAGGATGGAGTTTCTTAGAAGCACCACTCTAAAGAGCAAAACTCTTTCCAATTATGACAGGCAGCAATTAAACCACAGTGGCTGAGGAATGCAGAGTAGGAAACATAATCTTGCTGGGCTTCATGGTTTTATTTCCTGAATGCAGACATTCAATTATTTTAGAGTGTTCCCTCTTCCTTCTCATTTGAACTCTACAAGTGGCTTTGCCCTGGGAGCTCACGACATCCAGTTTCCCTGCAAGCTTACAAGCTCCATCTGTAGGATTGTTGAAGAAGAGCTCTCTGGCTTCAAGCTAGTGAAAAAGGGCAGAGAAGCTTCACTCAGAGTTTCCAGATTTGTTCTGGAAAAACTCCAGCATGCTTAGCATACTACACTGCAGAAGGACACTGATTTCATCATCTCTCCTTCATATCTGGGGAGAGCTTTCCACCCTGGTTAAACTACTGGTCCTTGGTCCTGTGCTGCATGACTGTGGGGTTGTTGCCTTTAGAAATTGCTGGAATTGTGGAGCTGGCATTATTTCACACAGGAAATCTCAGCAATTTTCTAAATAGATCATGAGCTGAAAGACTACTGGATAACAGTTCTCATAAAGAACTGTGGTGACAGGACAAGGTGGAATGGCTTCAAACTGTAAGAGAGTGGGGTTAGATGGGATATTAGAAAGAAATTCTTTCCTGTGAAGGTGGTGAGGCCCTGGCACAGGTTGCCCAGAGAAGCTGTGGCTACCCCATCCCTGGAAGTGTTCAAGGCCAGGTTGGACAGGGATTGGAGCAACCTGGTCTAGTGGGAAATGTCCCTGCCCATGGCAGGGGTTGGAATGAGATGATCTTAAAACATTCCATGTTTCTGTTATACAGCTGTGATCCCTTTAGGTTCTGGTAGCCCACAGTGTCTCGTGTAAAAAACTAAACAGCAGCAATTGACATGTTCAGATCATCTAAATCCAGCTGATTCAACAAATCAGTTTCTCCTCAACCTGGTATTTAATAGTTGTCAGCCCCAGCCCACACTTCCCTGCACAGGCTGCACCTGCAGAGGTAATTGCAGTCCATGGGGGCTGTTTTTAGGAGGAGAGAACACAAAAGGTGAAAGACTTTTCTTCTTTCTTTTGTGCAGAATAGGATCCTTGGCAGTAAGGTGAGGTACAGACTGGGGCTGTGAATGTTTGTAAAAGGACAGATGGACGGAAGGAAGGAAGGAAAGAGGGAGGGAAAGAAGGAAGGAAGGATGGATATGCTTTGCGGGGCAGATGGAGCGTGAGTAGTCCTTTTAAAGAGCTGCTGGCAAGTAACACTGTTGCGAATTATCTCTGTCATGTTGGAACTTCATCTTCTGTTTGCACAAGAAATATAACTTCATTTTGGATACCCAGAATTCTTCTGAGAGAGGCATTGTGTTCCCAAAGAACAGATACGTTTTTTTCCTTTGTGCAGATCCATTCTGGCTTTAAACCTGCCTTCTTCTCACATACCCAGATGATAATCTTTTACATGTACTTATGAAAAAATATCACTTTCAAAAAATAAAAACACAGGCATATTCTGTACTTGTTCCTTTCTTTTCTTCAAGATTAATTTCCCATTTTCCCATCTGACATGTCTGTCATTTGAGTATCTCCACAACCAAGAAAAAGCCTATTCTTTTCCCTTTTGTAGATTCACTGATATTAAAAGCAGAATGAAATGTGTTCCTGTCTCCTGGGCAGCTGACCTGTTTGTAGAGATGCATCTTTTTATCTTTATTGTGAGGGGGGTGAGGCTCTGGCACAGGTTGACCAGAGAAGCTGTGACTGCCTTATCCTTGAAAGTGTTTAACCCCAACCTCTTCTGTGCTAAACTAATGGTTTTTTTTCTTTCTTCTCTGTCCCACAGAGATCCCTGGGTGTTCAGGAATGGTCAAGAGCTGAACGGACCAACCTCTCTTCCTCACCATCCTGAGCTCACGAGGGCTCTGAAGAGATTGAGTGGGAGCATAGCCTTGCTTCCCTGAGCCTGGGGATGCTGTGGGAAGTGATTGCCTTGGCAAATATCTTCATCCTAATCCATAGCCCATCGTGCATCACCTGAAGGAGAAGCTGGTGAAAGATAACCAGGGGACCAGGAAAGGCTCTGCTAGCCTTGGAGGACACCACTGGGGGACTGGCACTACGAGAGGCACTTTGCAGGAGTCACTGCTTGTGGAACCAGCTCTGGAAAAAGGCTACAGGAGCCCTGTGAACTGAAGGAGGGGAATGCCTAAATCACGATGAAAGGTGCAGAGAGGTTTCCCAGGCACGGCAAGAGGGGAAAGCGCTTTCAAAAGGGGAGTACCAGGACCACGTGGTCATCTCCAGTGTCTGATTTGGAAGAGGCACAGCAGGGTCATTGCCTTATGGTCAGGTCAGGAGACCAACAGGATGCCTGTTCACGTGCTGGTTGGGGAACTAGATGATAAAGGAATCTGTCCAAGACTGAGAGAGAAGGAGTGTGCAAGATTGCTTTGACTTATTCTGTGCTTGTTTCTCCTGGTGTCTTCTCTGTCTACCTCTTCTTCTCTGTAGGCCCATATACATCACGTGGGGCCCAGACACTCACAAATGAGCAGATGGATTGGCACAGGGCAAATCCTGCCCAGTGCAGATGCAATGTGGCCTTTGTTTGCTCCTTGTGCCAACAAATCTGCAACTGTCATGCCTGGACTTCAGACAGGAAAAAGGCTTGAACCTGGCAGTCGTTTCACTTGCAAGCAGTCACATTCTAGCACGACCAGCCACCCTTGGGAGCCAAGTTGTAACACCTGAGCCTCAAAACATCATAGAGCATCTGTCCCTCTCCTGCAGCTGTGGGAAGGAGCATATGGGCAGGCTGCACACTCAGCTCCTGCTTCTTGAATTGGGAAGAACTCATTAAGCTGTGAAAGAGAGAGACGTGGAGGGAGTGACGGATCTCAGACAGAAAACAGCAGGAAAAACTGACTCAAAACCATAGGACAATGTGCACCTTTGACTTGCAGGTGGTGCCCCAGCTGTGGACTGCCATGCCCAGCCGGGCAGCTGCAGATGTCTGACCACTGAGCTGCTCCCAGAGGCCTGGGCAAAACATGCTGGTACCAAACTGTGCCGGGAGCCCCATCTCAGACCTTCTCTCTTGGGCTTCCAGCTGCAAACCCCTTCCCTCATGTGCAATTGTATTTATTTATTTATTTTCTTGCTGCTTGATGTGAAGCTGCTAAATGAGCCGCCTCCTCACAAACACCTGCAGCCAAGAGAGGACGGAGGGAGGGGGCGTGTGGCGTGTCTGTGCAAGGGGAGTGGGCAGAGGGGCAGGAGAGAGGGACACCTTCCAGGAGCAACCTTTTAGTGGAAGCTGTCCTTGCCCATGGTGGAGAGGTTGGACTAGATGATCTTTAAGGTCCCGCCCAACCCAAACCATTCTGTGATTCTATGATAAGCCTTAACGAGGTGCCTCATCCCTGAAGGTGTTCAAGGTCAGGTGGGATGGAGCTCTGAACAACCTGGTGTAGCAGAAGGTGTCCATTCTATGATTCTATGATCTGAACTGCCTATAGAGGGAGCATTCAAGGCAGGAGGAAAAAGCTGCAGTGAAACCCCAGTCTCCCTGGGGGAAAGGTGCAGTTTTGCTCTGTCAAGAACTAAGGACAAGCTGGGCAAAGCTTTGTTGGGAAGGACAGCAGGACAGCTGCAGCCTGCATAAGCTTGGGAATGTCCCTGTAGCCAAATTTCCTCCATGCAGCTGTGCTTGTGCAGGACATGTCTCTGTGCAAGTTGCTCACCCAGGTCGTGCCCTCCCAGCATTCCCTGAAGCAAACTTGCAGTGTCTACACTCACAGGAGGACATATCCACAGACAGGAAAGTTCCCACCAGTGTGTTCACTGAGGTTATTAAACCAGGTATTTACCTGGCAGCTTTTTCTGCTCTAGACATCTGTCACAGACCCATTTGACACAGCCAGTTTGAAATCAGCCTCTCTAGGCAGGGCTGTAGCTGTGGTGTTGTGGTTCATGCTCAGCCTTGGCTGTTCCTTCCCTTTTTGCCTAAAAACTGGCACACCAGCAGCATCCACTCATGGTCAGGTATCCCATTTTATGGAGAGCCTGCGTGTCCCAGTGCAGAGGGGAAACATTTCTCTGGGAGAGGGGGGTTCTGCAACGCCCTGCTATGTTCTCACAGCTCCCACGCTCAGGAGGGACCATGGCTACCCTGACATCCTTAATGCATCTCCCAGCTGCTCCAGGAAAGCCTGGCTTCTCCCATACCCTTCCCTCTGAGACGCCCCAGCAAGGCTTTGTCCAAACCTGTGTGGCTGCTGACTGGAAATATTTCCCAACAAAACCTGTTCCTCAGAAGATTCTTGGCTGGTTCTAGTCCCTTATTATGTACTGGAAATACTATCCATGGGATTTGTTTTCAGGTTAGAGACATGCATGGGATCACTGGAGCTCTTTTTCTCACAAATCCCCTGATGTGCAAGAGCAGGCTGCAGCAAGTGGAATGGATGCACTTGCTCTGATCATAGCATGGCCCTAAAGCAGTGACCTGCTCATTGCTGATCACTGCCTTGCAGAGTTGTACAAGTTGGAGACAGGAGAGGTGTATTACAAATCCATCTGACAAGCCTCTGACACTTCAGGCTTGTTCCATATATTACATTTACTGGTGGTGTGCTGGGTCTATTTTTAAATGCCTGACACCAGGGTTATTGTGGTGTCCTTTGGGAGACTGCTCTGTGCTCCAAGTCAGGAGCTGCTATTAGTTTTCCACCTGCATTTTGTCTTGAAAAGTTCATTCCATTATTCCTAGTGATGCTCTTCAAATGCCTGCTGTTCATTATGTTCTACCACTTGA